TTTTGGGGTGGGTGGGGGGGGCGCAAGCGATTTTAAACTTTTGTTTCACCAGCCCGAGTGAGCTGCAAAACATTTGTTGGTATACAACGGGTGCTACAGATACGACTTCTCCAATCAACAGTTTATTTGCAATATATATGCACTATATGCACAAGACGTAATTATTTAAGTGTTTTTGAATCGTTCTTTTGTTTTTGATCACAAGTTGCATTCGGGAGCAGTAATTATGCCATGCACAATTTAATCGGTTACCTCTCTTATCGGATATTTTAATGCTTCTTGGGGTTGGTGGATCATTCAAGGATGGAAAGGGCTGCTAATCGTACCAAATTCTGTCCGAGAATTTCTTGTCAGTTTACAGGATTATTGGCGTCACTTTTTTTTCTTTCCAATAGCGTACGTGTATTTTTTTTCTCGTCGCAAATCACCCGGAGTGTCATCGATGGTGGAGAGGCGATGACGCAGTCGCGGCAACGCGTTGTCAGGGGCCGTCCATAAATGACGTCACGCACCTAGGGGGGGGGGGGGTCAGACATTTGTGACGATGTGTGACGAGGGGGGGCGCTTGAGAAATGTGACGTCACATCAAAATGCGCAACTTTCAATACATACAGACAACACGTTCACACTACAATGACAATAGTTTAAAGCGATTTGAAGCATGTTTTATTTTCAAAATGGAAATGTTTTGGGGGGGGTGCAGAGCTTTTGTGACGTCATGTCGTCCAAAATCGCGTGACGTCATTTATGGACGGCCCCTCGAATACGCGCAACCCGCGGCTTTTTTTCGTGTCGCGTTGCGAACGTGACGTGGCGCTGAGTAGCCGCAACTCTCCAGTGTGCGCGTGTGGCTACACACGCATCTGCCAATAATGCAGTGTGCGCGCACAACGAGTTCAATTTGTACCGGGTGGGGGGGGGGGGGTGCCAGTTTAAAAGTAGTTGGTGATACGATTTTGATTATACTATATACTGTATCGCTAAATCCCGTGTTTGCACAAATGTAGCGTTAGCATTCAGCGGTGGGGCGGGGGGAGGCTTGCGAGAGGTGGTTTGTGGTTCGGTCTAAAACTATGGCGCGCGCGTACGCAAAAGTGTTCGGGAAGCGAACGACGCCGTCGCCTTGACGGGCAAGCTACGTGCAGTTTTATTATTTATCTCGTTTTGGTTTTAGCCTCTTTCTAAAAAAAGTGATTTGTAAAAGTTTAATGTTTAAATTTGTTAATAAACATGTTTTTGAGAATTTTGACACGCCGCGAGACGTTTGTCCGATATCACAGTCTTGAGCGGTCCTGTGTGCAGGTGGTGCCGTATGCTCGCCAACACTGGAGCAGCAGGTTGTCTCATTCCACATTCCTGTTGCGGGCACCGGTCTGCAAGGACATCCACTGTTGACTTCCCACCAGTTGATTTTGGTGTTGAAATTATTGACGGTTATCTTCATCAACAATGCCTACAAGTGGACGGAAATCCTCGAGCATGGCATTACAAATGTCATGATTAAAAACTACTATTTTCACCTACGTGACTTTACCCAATAGAACCAAAGAGTATGGATCCTAGCAGTCACGAAAGCTTTAAATCTAGAATGGATGTGGGAGACCAAAACAAGGTAATTGGCTTTACTAGCCGATCTCTCCAATGCTGCCGCGGGGTCCACTTTACTCCAGTGACCCGGGTGCTGCTGCGGGGTCCACTTTCTTCCCCGCCCCCTCTCTCCTCCCACCTGCTCTCTCCCCCCCTACTGCCGAGGCCTACTATATAACCTCGTGCCACGCTGTGGTTGTCCCACCTGATGACGATTGCTTGTGTTGCGATCTAAACGTCGTGATCTATTATTTTTCTACCTACGTGACTTTACCGAAAGAACCAAAGAGTATGGATTCCTGCAGTCACGAAAGCTTCAAATCAAGATTATAAAGAATAAGTTCACCGATTGGCTGACCCGATATAAAAAACTATGAACTTTTATTTTACCAGGTAAGGCCCACTGAGCTTCCACCGCTTTTAGAAGCGACCTGGCTGCATCAAATTATAACTCAACGAAGTGGCTTATCGTCAACGTGGAAATATATAGCAAATATTTTAAACGCACGTTGATTCTAAATGTGGGAGGGAAAAACTGGACCCGGAGAAAAATCCATGTGACCACGGAGAACATGCAAACTCCAAATATACAGGCATCGGGATCGAACTTGCGCACTTCCTGCTGCATACTAGACAGGGAAGATAACATCTCACCACCGTGGGGTGGAAGAATTTTGAGATCCTCAACAAGGAACCTTGAGGCAATGTCAAAACCGGTCCAGGGTTGTGCTGCTGCCAAGATGCACTTCCAAAAGGCTGCTGATAGATTGTAAAAAAAAAGATGTTTTTACACGCTTATATGGCCATGTTTTCTTTTATACGTTGAGAGAGACCACTCTTAATTTGGAACCAATGTGGGGGCTACCGTCCCCCGCCATCATCGAATTGTCGGGGGCCATTGGCCCCCGACTCCCCCGTTAAATTCATACCACTACCACAACTGCAACAACCGGTGTATGATTATGCACGTGGGTACCCGTGTACCTCACGGCGCAGCTCTACTCACGCGGTAACCCCAGCCAGCAGCATCACGTGCTTGAATTGTGTAATCTTGTTTTATTTCCCGTCGCAGCCGTTCGGAATCAACTAATTAGGCTGCGGAATACCCGCTCACCAATTTGTCTCTATACGCCACACGCGCGGCGCGTGCCGTGAGCGCTGCTGCTCCTGCACACCCCGTACTGGTGTGGGCGAACTACAACCAGCGTCACACGATGCATAGGCTCACCACACCACGCACTAGTGAATTTAATGATCGAAGGACCCGTACTTTAATTCCCAGGGTGATAGCACGTTACTGCTACCCCGGCATGCGCGTCAAGCCCCGAGTGAACCCACCCGTGCGAGCGTAAACACGTGGGTAAAATTACTCACGCGCAAACAAAATAATCACCGCGGGCAGGCTTGCCACACCACGCACCGCCCCTTCGTACTCAGAGACAACACGACACGGTTTATACGCTACGGACGGTTTATTCCCCACGAATAAACGAACTAGACTGTGCGTGTCAGTACGGACCAGCAGGGCAGGTCTAACCTATCTCTCTACTGCCTGATACTTAATCGGCCTGCCCGCTATTTTCTCCGAATTTCGCCCCTTTGTCTTACCTCTCTCCCTCGTACTTACGGTCCGACCTCGCAGCGATGGAGGTTGCGGATAGATGATCCTGTAAACAGACTCTGGCTGTTCTCTGCCCTGTCCCACGGACGTGCAAGTAACAGTGAGATGACGGCTGCTCGATCCCTCCCTCCTCTTGATCTCCAGTCAAAAAAATGGCCCCGTGCTTCCCCAAAGCATCCCTTTTTATGCTCCTTTTAAAGACCTCGCGCCGCCCATCCACGGTGCATCACGGGTCGGGCCGTTAATCCGCGGTGCATCATGGGTAGAGCCGTGAATCCGCGGTGCATCATGGGTAGAGACGCTAACCCACGGTGCACCATGGGTAGAGACGCTTAACCCACGCTGCCCCGCTCCCCACCTGTCTGCTGGTCCGCGTGTGTCCTGGGCATCTCCTCACTGCGGTTCTCAGCGAGTTCGCCGTGGTCATTCTAAGTTAAGCCACGGCGCCGCAGTGCCATTTGGCCTGGGGGGGGGGGGGGTGGGGGGTGCCTGCCAATTCCCTGACCCTGAGAAACAGTGGAGCACCCCCACGAGGGGGCCTCTCGGGTAAAAACTCAGGGCAGGTGCCCCCCCCTGCCCATGAGGCCCTACTTGAGTGTGTGTGTTTATGTGGCGGGGGGGGGGTGGCGGGGGAAGTGCTGTGACGGGAGCCGGGTGGCTTCTCGGTCGCAGCAACACAGCGATGGCCCCGGTTTTGACGGAGCGGCTTCGCTGTTGTGGCACCGCACCAACAAAGGTCTCCGTAATATATACAAATAATAGGCTTTACCCTTTCTGGCAATATAACAGGTGTTCAAATGTTCAAACGCCAAATATATGCATTTCACAAGGAACCGTGTCTGAACCACACGTACTTGTGGTGAACATGCAAACAAAACATGGTCTGATAATTGCATTGTATTTGAAACTGATTAGTTGACACCAGAGACAACCTTCTTTATGGGTGTGTTTCTCACTGCGGTTTGCTTGATGAGCTCGTTGTTCCCATACAATTTTAAGCTAATTCACGGGGCCGCGGTGCAATTCGGCCTGGGGGGGGGGGGGGGAGTCGGGGTCGGCCAATCTCCTGGTACTTGGAAACCGTGGGACGTCTCCACGAGGGGCCCCTCGGGTAAAAACCCAGGGTACCAGGTGACCCCCCCACGAGACCCTACGTGGGTGCATGTGTGTGTGTTTAGAGGGGGTGTGTTCGTTCGTTCGTGTGGGGGGGGGGGTGCAAGGGGATAGCGCTGGCAGAGTTGCTCCGTTGTTGTGGCACCACACATTTTCTTAGCATGTTCACCACAAGAATTGTGTATGGTTAATTCATACATCATTCCTTGCAAAAGGTTTCTATTTTATGTTTGAACATCTTAATGTGTTTTATTGCCAGAACGGGTAAACCTATTATTTGTTCATACTATTGTAAGGACAGTGAAGTGAAACTACGGTCTGAGTGTACTCGTGGCCACGGGAGGTAATGACACGTGAGTCGGCCTGCAGGGCAAATTGACTCGTGGCCACGGGAATTATCGAGAATGGGGACGTGGTCAGGTGCCGTAAGAGGACAGTAGATCGAGTGGTCTAGGTCACTCTAGGGCCAACGAGAATTAAGAATAGGGGCGTGGCCACACCGTAGATAAGGGGAATAGGCAGGAGACTCAGAGCTGACAGTGGGGGTCTCGAATGTGTGTCCGAGTGCGAGCACGTGCTCCCTCAAAGAAACATCTCAAGAACAAGTGCGTCCAAGTCGTCATTACACTAATACTGGCAACAACAAAAAAGAAATGTAATATATATGTACATACGAACACTTCATTTTGCATTAATCTTTTTAATGTGGCACTTATTGAATGGTTATACAGCTCAGTATTATGATACGTAATTCAAAATAAGCTTCAAACTGTTTAAAGCACAGTACTCCAATAAGCTGGTGTGCACTGCGGATGCTGCATGTACTACATCGCTGGAACTAAAATACAAGAATAACTTCCATGTGCAGGAATTGAACGCAGGCATTGTTGTGCAAGCCACAGTAACGTGGGCAGACATGCATATAACAAACATGAGATGCCAGAAAATAACTCCCCATTAATTTAAATTATATTGCAAGTCAAGTCACACTGTCAAATCAGGATGGGCAAGATTAAGGTCCATATCCATACATTCCCAAACGGCACAACGGACAACTTGGTCAGTTTTATTGCGATAGTTATAACGACAGCAGCGCATTTGAAGTCCAATGGAAAAGGAAGTTCACCAACAAGGCATTGTGGGTTTCTCCTTTAATACCGTACAACCTGGACACACATTTCCTTGGCGTAATTTCACAGGCATGATTGTGTTCAGGCAGATTAATGAGAGCCTACTGTTGGCTTATATCCATATCTTGCATACAATTATGAAATTCACATTTTTCGTATAAACAGAAACATTTTAAGGCACTTAAGAGTTTTATGGAAAAAAGTCAAAGGCTGAAGTGTCACCATGCTCAAATGAGCCACGCTAGGCGGTGGAAATTCCACAGTGTCACGGCAAGTGCAACTTAACTTGTTATCGATAAGCGCTCACTCCGTTTGCAGAGGCAGTGCCTGGTTAATTTGTTTCACGACTGTTCGCTGTGACGTTTTGCTTTCCGCGCTGGACGTGTTGGGTTTACGAGCCCTTTGTCTTACGAATCATTGTCTCCATCATGTCCCACTGCTCCTTTGAGACCTGAAAACAACATCGACATCGTCAGTCACCATCTATCGGTGTTCGGATTAGCACGGTTGGTGGCTACGAACGGTGCAACATAATTTCAACAAACATACAAAAACATTACTGGCTTCTGGCAGTGTGAATCTGGGGGCATCGCGTCGCCGTTGCATTAAAACCAAAGCACGTGAGTGTCTATTAAAGTGAGATCTTCACTTAGGGTGTCGATCTACTTGGCTAATTCATTAACCCCATTGTCAAACTCAAGAAACCTAAGACGTCCGTCTAATTGCCTTTTAACTACACCAAGAACGTCGATTGGAATGGGTAACAAAGCCTTTGCTGTTGCAGCACCAGCGTGTTTGTATTGCGTCTGCTGTTGTCATGTTATTACCTGCCCCTACTGGACATCTGTGAAAAAATAGGTTCATAGCTCATTGGATTTCTCCAGGATAAATACGGATTCTGATTAAGCAAATAGTCACTGGTCAGTAGGGACCCAGAAGTAACGGCTACAGGACTGGTAAGATGCGACCTACTCGATCTAATCCAGCCGTACCTGTTTGAGACTGTTAAACTCCCCAGCCATCGACACGTACTCTCCTCCATCCAGCCTCACCACCTGCAAGGGAAAAGTGGCATTTGAAGGTGGTGCACGGGAGCAAGCCCAACTTTCTCTTGCTGGAATTAGTGATGTAAATGTGCACGTGTGAACCGCCACAGAGGCAATCGTTCGCCACAGGAGCTCGAGAATGGAACAGCGGTCGGTTGGCCGCAACTCTGGCCCCTCTCTGCTCCACTGCCGCGTGCGAGGTAGCCCACATTGTAGTGGTGTTAGTGGTAGCGCGGGTGGTGCATCTGTCGGTCATCTCAGGCAGTTAACCCATGACACTTCACGTGGCCTCAAAGTGCACCAAGCCTTACACAAGTCCTGTGGTGATGTCACCGCCACTTAGTGGCGAATGGTGGCTATTGTTGGTGGTTGTAGTCGTGGTAGGATTATTCAACATCACTTTGCCACGCACGCCGAGGATAGGCTTGCGGAGCCCCAATCTGGTTTCAGGAAAGGGCAGTCCTGCACAGATGCCATATTTTCTGTCCGTCTGCTACAGCAGAGGTGTAGGGAATTCCAAAAAGACCTGCATCTCTGCTTTATTGACCTGGTCAATGCCTATGATACCATCAGTAGGCCTGGGCTCTGAGTTGTTCTTCATGAAGGACCTTCATGATGGTGAGCGGGCCCGGGTAAAACTACGTGGCTGGGAGTCGGAGCCATCACCTGTTCACCTTGGGGTGCAACAGGGATGTCCTATGGCTCCCACATTATTTAACATCTATTTCGACCATGTAGTTCGGGAAGCCTTCGATGGCTGTACCGGAACAATTTCCATCTGGTATAGATACAATGGGAGGCTGATCGATGCCCGGGTGCGGTCAAGTGATGGCTCCCTATTGGTCAACCATGTTATGTATGCCAATGATCTGGTATTCTTTGGGTCTTTCGGTAAAGCCACGTAGATGAAAAAATAATATCACGACGTTTCGAATGCAACACAAGCAATCGTCATCAGGTGAAAAATATAGCGGGAGAGCTGCTGAGGCAGGAACAAATATATGGCGGGAGCGCTGCTAAGGCAGGGAGTTATAAAGGTTTGAGATGGGTGTAGCCCAAGGGTCAGTGGGCGGAGCTAGAGATTAAATTTGCATTTAAATGTAAGATTGGAGAACGCTTGACAAACGAAGCTATGGGGTTGGCTATTGTATTATGAGAGATTAGCATGTCAATGTAAGAAATTTGCTTGTAAATGTAAGCTCAGAGAGAGCTTGGAAAGAGCCATCGCCACATGGAGGTGGAAAAGGATGGCAAGCCATTTACTAACACAGCTAACGGTAGCTGTGTTAGTGAATGTAACTCAGAGAGTCGAAAATAACTGCTAACATAGGTAGGTAGGAAGGGAACATCACAGCCAGTTATGACCTAAACTGGTTAAAAACGTCCTTCCAATGATTGCTCAGTTTGTACCCATCTTCTCGGTTGAAATTGTCTGTGTTTATATATCTGGATGGTTTCATGAACGAATCTTTGCTGATAGCCAGTGGGTTTACAGAGTACCTTCGTCTTGTCAAAATTAATTTCGTGTGTCCCCACAGCGTTAAAATAATGATCAGCCACGGCCGAGGTATTTGGTCCTACCGTGTTTCAGATCTGCCTTATGTTCACGAACCCGGTCCGAGACATGTTGCTTAGTTTCCCCAATGTAACTGCTGCTGCATACACAGCTTAGTTTGTAGACACCGGGGAATTACATGTCAGGGATCACATCCTTCACGGATGGGATCAAATCACGAATTTGATGTACTATGTTGAATCGGACCTGGATCTTGTGTTTTTAACCACCTCTACGGGGAGGGTTTCCACACAACTATTAGATCTTTCAACAAACTTCGAGACAAGAAGGCTCATCTGATCGAGTCGCTCACTTTTCTGAAGAAATGCCGCGACACTAAGGTCATACCAATCGCCTTTACACTCACATCTGCTGCTGTCACTTCTCCTAATGCTAAACGGATCTTGTTCAGGGCCAGCCTAGCCCTGATCTCAGAGAGAATAAGACTGCTCCAATTTGAACTAGACAATTTAGACAATACCCTCTTACAATCACACTAAACATTGACAGAAATAATATCTACATCTGATTGGGACCATGTAGATAACATGAGAGTCTCTTCAGCCACCTCAATGGCAGCTACAGTGATCCCTTGGATTACGAGTAACTTGGTCTGCGAGTGTTTTGCAAGATGAGCAAATTTTTTAAATAAATAATAATTTGATAAATGAGCGATGTCTTGCAATACGAGCAGTACGTACAGTATACGCTTTGTCTGCCGAGCGTCACGTGATCACAACTAAGCCAATGGTTATTCTCTCTCTCGCTGCGGGATTGTGGGTAATCATCTCCCATGCTCGGTCTCAGTCGGCGTGCCTCACTCGTATAGTCAACATCCGTGCGAGCGTAATACTGTTTACTACAGTATAGTTTTGTGACCACGTGTATACTGTTTACTATAGTATAGTGTTGTGACCACGTGTATACTGTTTACTACAGTATAGTGTTGTGACCACGTGTATACTGTTTACGACAGTATAGTGTTGTGACCACGTGTGTGTGCGTAAAGCATTTTTTTAATTTTGTGTCCAAGTGTAGTGACTGTTCTTTAGTAACTACTGCAAGTGAAAGTCATCCTACACAATAACCCTCCTCCTCTCTCTCGTCTCCCTCACACCAGCCACGATTAAATGTAATGAATACATTTGATTACTTTATATTAAATAAAAATTATAAAAATATAAAAAAGGTATGTTTTATTAATAATTTTTATATGAATACAGTATTTTTGGGTTGTGGAACGAATCATCTGAGTTTCCATTATTTCTTATGGGGAAATTCGCTTTGATATACGAGTGCTTTGGATTACGAGCACGTTTCCAGAACGAATTATGCTCACAATCCAAGGTTTCACTGTAAATGCAAAGATAACCTGATTTCCAAGTTCAACCTCCTTTCAAAGAAGAAGCCAGATGCATACGTTAAAAAGTTAGATGGTGACAATATTGTTATCAATCAGAGCAACAGTCCAATTTCCGATAGCCTAAAATCTGTTCTAGCTAAAGGGTTGAATTTCGCAGTCACCCCTAAACACATCCCAGTTGATGATATCATTGCCCAGATCGACGTAGCCCTTAAGGGTTTGGGACACATTCCTGCAGACGTGGCAAGATCGGAAATCGCTGCAATCCTCAAGTGCTAAGACACCTATTAGCAATATCAGCAAGGATGAGTGCCTTGAGCTCTCAATTCAAAAAGAGAGATTACATAGTCATCCTCTCAGCCGACAAGGGCAATGCCACTGTCATCATGGACAAAACCACATACAATAACAAAATTCAGGACCTACTTAATGATGGCAGCTATACCAAAATCAATAAGGATCCTACCATTCATAATAAAGGTTTTTGGGTTAGATCGCGTTTATTTATAAATGTGTCGTAACCCTCCACCACCCGACACGGCCAATCAGCAAAGAAAAGTGTCACGTTGACAAAAGACAAATAATTCACTACTTCAGCCCACCGGTGTGTTGAAGAGTTAATCCACATTTACAGTTTGAGTACGACGTTTCGCTGGTAAATACTTCCAGCATCATCGGGCAATTCGCCAGAATGGTAAAGCCCTCGCTTGCTCCCGGTTTTATATAGAGCAGAAAGGGTGACGTCATCACTTAACTCATCAGGTGCAGTGATTAGAGGCGGAGGGGGGGGGTAATGTAATTATATAATCGATTAGTAATCAGTCATTGGTTATGATTAGTAATGAGTTGTAGATGAGTAATTCTTTAAATCCGCCTCTAATCACTGCACCTGATGAGTTAAGTGATGACGTCACCCTTTCTGCTCTATATAAAACCGGGAGCAAGCGAGGGCTTTACCATTCTGGCGAATTGCCCGATGATGCTGGAAGTATTTACCAGCGAAACGTCGTACTCAAACTGTAAATGTGGATTAACTCTTCAACACACCGGTGGGCTGAAGTAGTGAATTATTTGTCTTTTGTCAACGTGACACTTTTCTTTGCTGATTGGCCGTGTCGGGTGGTGGAGGGTTACGACACATTTATAAATAAACGCGATCTAACCCAAAAACCTTTATTATGAATAATATTGGTCGCGAAAGCCTACGTGTTAAAAAGGATCCTACCAACCGCCTGGTTACGAAAACCAACAATATCATCACTTATTCGACATCTTTAATCGAACCAACCAAGTGGCTTTCCTTAAAACCCTCTGCTGCTAGACCACCCAGATTTTATGGTTTACCAAAAATCCATAAAGACGGTACACCACTCCGTCCTATCGTCTCCACCATTAACTCACTCACCTACAAACTGGCCCGATTTCTGTCTGAGACCGTGCAAAGATTCACTGGTAAGACCACCTCAGCTATACTTAACTCTGCTCACTTGATGTCTTCAATTAAGGATATCTCACTATCTCCAGGTGATTTGCTTGTCAGTTTCGATGTGGTATCTTTGTTTACCAAAGTTATTGTGCCTGACACCATTGCAATCGTTGAAAATTTGGTCTAACAAGGACTGAATGCTGATGTACCAGCCCTGCCTCACCAACACTTCACCTGGCATGGAATATTATACAAACAAGTTGAAGGTACCCCCAATGGGTTCTCGCTTATCTCCAGTTGTAGCCAATGTTTTCATAGATAAATTTGAGACAGATGCCATCCAGGCATCCACCCTAATACGTCCTTCCTTGTGGAAGAGATACGTAGATGACACGTTCGTCATCTGGCCACATGGCCTACCAGCTATGGACCAATTCTTCAACCACATCAATTCCATACCCAGCCATCAAATTCACCATGGAGGTGGAAATGGATGGCAAGTTACCATTCTTGGATGTTTTAATCAAAAAGAGACCTGATGGCTCAATGGGACACTGTCTACAGGAAAGCCACCCATACGGATGCCTACCTAAAACCTGACTCCCACCACCATCCATCCCAGAAGAATTCCCTCATTAAAACTCTACACCATAGAGCTCGTATGTCCGACCATCGCCACCTAGCCAGTGAACTGGAGAACGTATACCAAGCCCTCAAGAAGAATGGATATTCAGACTACACAATCCGTAAAGCTATCACCCCAACCGTTGGGAAAGAAGCATCTGAGGACCCAATCAAAACCATCACCTTGCTATACATAGCAGGGGTCACCAAAAATATTTCCAAAATCATGAGAAAACACAAGATTCAGGTACGATTCAACACAGTACATACAATTTGTGAATTGATCCCATCTGTGAAGGACGTGATCCCTGACATGCAATACCCCGGTGTCTACAAACTAAGCTGTGTCTGCGGCAGCAGTTACATTGGGGAAACTAAGCGACATGTCTCGGACCGGGTTCGTGAACATAAGGCAGATCTGAATCACGGTAGGACCAATACCTCAGCCGTGGCTGATCATTATTTTAACGCTGTGGGCACACACGAAATTGATTTTGCCAAGACGAAGGTACTATATTTTCCCACATAGCCCGCATACGCATATCACCCACAGACGCATATACCCCGCAAAAAAAGCGTTTAGTGTAAAACAAATTTCAGATAGCCTGCACCCCCATATACCCCGCATGCATTCATATCTTTAACGTCATTACTGCAGCTTAATTCCATCATATTAACATGAAGTTTACACTTGTAATACATTCCACTATCAATTGTTAACATTAAAATCATAACGTGCACAAAGAAAACAAACTAACCAGAAACGAGTGAACTTAAAACAGTAAATAAGTAACACAAGTAAATATCCAATAAATAAGTAACACATAACTGGTAGATAAGTACAGTTTTAGCACTGGTAGATTGCGCACTGCGCAAACAATAGCGGCACTACGGTAACGCCATTGCCTCGCCTCCAACCCCCCACCTCTCTCTCCCCCCAGCTCTCGCATCGCCGCCGCAGATCTTGCTCTGCCCCACCCCCCAAACATTGTCGTTTCATTGTACAAACAATTCTAATAATTTAAAACGTGATAACATGTGCAAGTTTAGTGTGAGTGGTTTATTCAGCAGTGCTTTAGTCAAAGGTAAGTGTTGCATAGTGGATAGTCCTGCCATGAAAAAATTAAACGAGTTATGACATGTCACACGTGTAAAATATTTTTGGGATAGCCCGCACCTCCGTATACCCCGCAGGGTCTTGTTTTGTTTGTAAAAAGTGGTATACCCCGCGGGTTATATGCAGGAAAATACAGTAGTCTGGAAACCCACTGGCTATCAGCAAAGATTTGTTCATGAAGCCATCCAGATATATAAACACAGACACAATTTCAACCGAGAAGATGGGTACAAACTGAGCAATCATTGGAAGGACGTTTTTAACCAGTTTAGGTCATAACTGGCTGTGTTGTTCCCTTCCTACCTACCTAATTAACATTTATTTTCGACTCTCTGAGTTACATTCACTAACATAGCCACCGTTAGCTGTGTTAGTAAATGGTTTGCCATCCTTTTCCACCTCCATGTGGCGATGGCTCTTTCCGAGCTCTCTCCTGAGCTTACATTTACATACTCTTTGGTTCTATTCGGTAAAGTCACGTAGGTAAAAATAAAATAACAAAAAAATCACGACGCTTCGGCCACAACACAAGTGGCCTTCATCAGGTGAAGGGACTGGACTGTCCAGAGGACAGCGTTGGAATGAAGACAGCAAGCCCAGGTCGCGTCCTTTAAGCTGTGTGGGAGGAAACAAAAAACGCCTTGACAAAGGAATTAGCATAACAATGATATACTGGACCCCCCCCCCCCCATCGTGCCGGTCCAGTACATCATTTTATGCTAATTTTATGCGAATTCCTTGCTAATTCCTTTGTCAAGGCGTTTTTTGTTTCCTCCCACACAGCTTAAAGGACGCGACCTGGGCTTGCTGTCTTCACTCCAACACTGTCCTCTGGACAGTCAAGTACCTTCACCTGATGAAGGCCACTTGTGTTGTGGCCGAAACGTCGTGATTTTTTTTATTTTATTTTTACCTACGTGACTTTACCGAATAGAACCAAAGAGTATGGATCCTTGCAGTCACGAAAGCTTCAAATCTAGAACTTACATTTACAAGCAAATTTCTTACATTGACATACTAGTCTCTTACAATACAATGGCCACCCCCACAGCTTCGTTTGTCAAGATTTCTCCGATCTTACATTTACATGCAAATTTAATCTCTAGCCCCGCCCACTGACCCTTGGGCTACACCCATCTCAAACCTTTATAACTCCCTGCCTTAGCAGCGCTCCCGCCATATATTTTTTCCTGCCTCAGCAGCTCTCCCGCTATATTTTTCACCTGATGACGATTGCTTGTGTTGCGATCGAAATGTCGTGATATTATATTCTTGGTTCTTTCGGTAAAGTCACGTAGAAGGGAAACAATAAAATAATAAAAATATAAAATAAAATTCTTACGACATTTCGACTGCAACACAAGCAATCATCAGGTGTGAAAACAACAGCAATAATATTTGAAAAAAGTGGCGGTTATTTTTAAAGTTAGCACCACGGAGAGAGTGATTTGACAGTTTGTTCAGATGGACGAGTCCATCTATGTTCGGAAAAGAGGAGGGGGGAGACGAAAATGATCATTTCCCTTCTATCTGACTTTACCGAAAGAACCAAGAATATGAATCCCTGCAGTCACGAAAGCTTTAAATACAAATTTTACATCGTGATATTGTTATTATTTTTCTATCTACGTGGCTTTACCGAAAGACCCAAAGAATATGAATTCCTGCAGTCAGGAAGATTTAATGATCTGGTAATTGCTGCTCAGAGGAGGAGTTGGAGGCGCTGCTGCTGAACCTGAACGTGCCACTAAGAGGTGGGGCCTTACCATCAGCCCCACCAAAACTAAGCACCTGCCTGGGTATTTTGTACCATCAGACACTCCACCCCCACAACTCCCAATTGGTGATGGGGCAGTGTGCTCATGACCAGCTCCGGTTTGACAGCAGAGGTCTCACTCCGAATTAGTCGAGCAGCGTTATCTTTTCATCGGTTGTGTAACGCTGTGTGGAAGCTACCTGGTCTGTTGCTCCGCTCGAAGCTTTAGGTCTTCTCAGCCACAGTCATGCCCTCCCTTCTCTACGCTAGCGAAACATGGGCCCTCCTAATGGAAAATCTTCACCGGTTAGAAACATTTAGGCTGGCCTGCCTACGATCCATCCTGGGTTTAACCAGGCTGGATTGTGTGAGGAGCTCACGAATCCTTGAAAGACCTGGACAAGTCCCATCGGTGAGCTCCTCCGGCAGGCAAGGCTGCGTTGGCTGGCTCATGTAGCCCGCATGCCCAGTCACCGCATGCCTAAACAGCTTTTGTTCGGCCGGATAGAGGGGGCTAAACGGGCGCGTCATGGGCTGGAGAAGAGATGGAGTGATGTGGTACAAGAGGATGTGGAGCTGAGTGGACTTGCCAATGACTGGTACCAGCGGTGTCAAGATCGGCCTCTGTGGAAGAGGCTCGTGAAGGACGCTACTGGACAGTTGGAGGCAGTCGCCCTTCAACAAAAACGGAGGGCAGAGGAGCGACGCTCACAACGAGCGGAGCGCCGGATGGCTAAAACACAGCAAGTTGGGACAGTAGGGGGCACAGGTGGTGCATCGGCCAGTCATCTCAGTCAGTCGACCCGTGGCACCTGGGTCTGCCCCGTGACCTCCTGCCAGCGGGCGTTTGACACTTCACGTGGCCTCAACGTGCACGTAGCCAGGCACAAGCGCCGTGGTGCCATCACCGCCACTTAGTGGCGACTGCCGGTTGTTGTTGTTGGTAGTGGTGGCGGTAGCAGCAGTGGTGGATGTGGTGTATGTATGTATAACTTCCTTTGCACTCTACGTAACCAACCGTGCTAATTGGAGGTGCGGGGAAAGGACAGCAAACTAAACACAAAACTCATTTTTAAAGAAATGAGTTTTAAATCTTGATTTAAAACTGCACAGCCTCCAGTTGTTGGCGATAGTGGTGGTGGATGTGGTGGCACTCACGGCACCGCTGGCCCAGCTGGCGTAGTCACTGCACAGGAAGGTGGCGAGGTTGGCGATCTCCGGCACTGTGCCGAGGCGGCCCACGGGGATCCGATCCAGCATGACCTCCTCGAACATGCCCGAGGGGTCGAGCCGGCTGAACGCGCCCTGCACGGCGGCATCACCACCACCAAAGACAAAGATCCCCCGTGTAGCCTTAACACTGCTGGAGCAAGTGCTGTTAGTGAGTAGCACCTATGAAGGCCGTGACGGCACACGAGGGGAGGTGGGTGGCCAACACCACGCCCGACCGCCTTTGTCTCCCCAGTGGTGATGTTTACACACCGCACCAGGCACTCATTTGAGGCCGAGTCGACTTCGGGAAGGCCAAGGACCGGTTGAAACAATCGTCTGGGGGTTTTGGACGCGAGCGGGAATCGAACTTGGGTCGCCAGGTTCGTAGCGCCACCACTCCCCACACACATGTACACACACAAGCAACATACGACATACACAAACCTACGCAAACATACACATCACCACCAGCAGCTGCTGTAGCAGCAGCTTCATAAAAACCATCGTCATTAATATCATCGGGGTCATCGTCAGCAGCTCCAAAGCCAACCTTTGGTCATCAATGTCAGTTGGGGTGTTATATTTGTAGCTGTCATCATCAGCAGTAAGTCAATACCATCAAAGCCAACACTGTTATATTTTCATACTTCATGGGTGTCGTCGGTTTTATTACCAGCATCACTGATGTCATGAGCACCAAAACCATCATCATCAATATCGTTATCAGCTTCTGATTTATAATCTGCATCACTAGCATTACAATAGTTTTTATTATTGTTAGCACCATACACGCATACTCCAGGGACGTGCGGTCTGGGGAGGTTGGCGAGGCAGAGCCTCACCTGTCATACTCCAATGAAAATAACTGTTACGAAAAGTAAAAAAATTATAATCGAATCAAATAAATATGAAGATTTTTCCACTGAACTGTGTTATAAATGTCATTTCTGTACGATTCCAATCATTTTTATAGTCAAAATCGACAAATTTGCAGAGCTCCGCTGCAAATACAGGAAGAGACGAGAGGTGAGGCAGCGACGAGCTCAGCCTCCCCTCTGATTGCGCAACCCCTCAGTAACTGGACAATAAGCCCGTGCCTGTTACTATCTCAGTATGTCACCAATGTAATGTTTGTAGACCCCTTCATTTCATGTCCTCGCCTTCCATACTCGAGGTAACTTATTTCACGTATGTGTATAAAGATATTTAGGCTCGCTGGTCTCGTCATGGAACTGCAATGAAAAAGCAACAGGGGAGGCAGCTATCACATCTGCCTCACTGAGGGGTACGTGTCTAACACGCCCCTCTCAGTGAGGACACACCCCCTCAGTGAGGCCACGCCCCCTCCGTGAGGCCACGCCCCCATCAGTGTGTGAATCTGTGTCTTCCCAGCCATTGACCTCACCGCATGTCACTGGTATACTCTGATGCTTGACAAAGTGGCACTGCAGTTGAAAAGTGATTGACTCTAAATCCAGGGGGTAAGGGGGGGGGCAATTCATGTCGAGGGAAAAAAGTGGTTATCCTACGGAAAAACTGGCCCTCGTCATGGGAACGTGGATTTACCACCAGTGGCTCACGACCATCAAAAGCAATAAGTTTAGCCCAATTGCTCGGTTGAGTTGGGAGATGCAGGATTGGCATGCATAACCATTAACATAACGCACATCTTAAGTCGCACATCACTCATACCGCGTTGCCTATGTTCTCTCTGAGCCACCGGACTCATCCACAGAAACCCACACACCTCACCTTGGTTCTGATTGGTCCAGGCTGAATTACATTGAACCGCATGCCATACCTACCCCATTCCGCAGCTAGAGACCTGAAAAAGAAAAAGGGACATCATTACAACCCATTCGCAAATTACAATTCCTTGTGACCCGCTCTGAAATCTACCAACTCACACCGTATTTCCAGTCAAACGATAGCATTACTGTCCCTTCTTCCCCCATCACTACCCCTCGACCTAACGTCGCATCCATGTTGTACGTTGTTATAAAAAAATAATTGCATTTAGACACTTTTTTAAAATCCAAATCATCTTAATGAATAGACTTCAGATATAATTTGTGATAGGTACAATATATATTTTATTATTTTATTGTTTCCCTTCAACATGACTTTACCGAAAGAGCTAAGAATACAAAATATGATCATTAGGTTTTAGACAACATTTCTGCCACAAGGACATCACCTTAAAAATTGGAATGTACCTTCTCACCAGATTGTGATATATTTCACAGGTATATGACCTATCACGGGTACTGTAAGATCCAATCATGCCCGTCCAGTGCTCGCCAAGCTCCATTGGCTTCCAGTTGCCGAACGAATACATTATAAGGTCGCACTCATTACACACACAAAGTGCTTGCCACAAATGAACCACGATACCTTGCTGATCTCATCAATGAGCATAAACCATCACGCAAACTTCAGTCATCCTTGCAGCAGCTTTTGGCTAGCCATTGAATAAAGACATCCACGGCATCACGCGCTTTCAGATGCGCTGTTGCGGCCGTCTGGAACGCTCTTCCAATGTTAGGAAGCTACTGGAGCTGTACACTTTTAAATCTATATTGAAAACGAATTTCTTCAGAACTGCTTTGTGGTTTGTTTGTTGTCCTTTCCCCGCACCTCCGATTAGCACGGTTGGTTATGCATGGTGCGAAATAAGTTCAACATACATATTACACCAGGTAATGACCTCTCACAAGAATGTGAGAACACCTCTCACCAGGTCAACATTCCCACACTCACTTGTACATGGCCTCCACTCCAGCTTTGGCCGCTGCACTTGGCACAACAAACCCCGAGCCACTCTCGGCATAAATGGTGGTGATTGCCAGGAACGCAGCACCTGTTCACACGAGCGAGAATTATTTTCATTTCGGCCAGGTAAGTGCAGTAGAAGAGAGCTGAACCCAGACACATCGCTGGGCCTAAAGTGAACATCCCACATTGCTGTGACAGGGGCCACTCCCCTTTGAGCAACCATTGCAAACTTTCCACACAGTGGTACACAGTGTAGTCACCCTGGGGAAATGGATGGCCAAATTGACCCCGGACCACGATTTGAACTTACGGTCTTCTTAATTTAATTTGAGCACTTGAATCCCTCGATTTACAAAAGGGATGCGTTCTTTAAAAAACACGAGTACAATAAAATATTGTAAATCTGAACGGCTTTTCCCATTCATTTAATCCAACTCAACTACTAACCTAAATATATACACCTATATCACTTTCCACAATGCAATAAAAATAATAAAGAACATGAAGATTCAAACGATTGAATAATAATAAAAAAGAATTTTTTTACCTTTTCATGGAAAAATATCTGACTGGAAAGGTGCTGTGGAGGCGTTGCTGTTGCACGGTGGGGGACACCGTGACGCTGTGGCTGATCGATGTCACAGCCTCCCAGGCGGCTCTTCTTTGACGATCTCACGGTGCGTGGCCGTAGTGAGATTTAATTAACGCGCAGATTCGATTTCGTTCATCGAAAAGTGTCCTTAATTTGTCAATTGTGTACACGCGAAATGTCGTAAACCGAACGTTCGTAAATCGAGGGATACCTGTACTTGGGGTTAATTTTCTAAAATGTTTGGTTTGGTAGAAGTTACCAGCACACAATGGCCTATTGTAGCAAAGCACACCGCACATTGTTCAACGTCTACTTCATCGTCGTGACCATCACCATCATCATCATCATTCGTCGTCGGCGGCGGCCACGATGGCACAAAAGCAGCGGTCACCTTTGCCGGCCTGGATGAGCCGCTTGCCCAGGTCCAGCGTGACGAAGGCCGAGCCGTTGAGCACGATGTCTGTGATGGTGCGCCACGCGTTGGGGGAGAGACGCTCGCTCGGGGACACAAAGTTTCCCGCCGCGTTGTTGATGATCACCTGCAAGCGCCTCCCATTAGGACGGCTGGCTATGCATGGTGCGAAATAAATTCAACGTACGTACGTACAAGCAATTAATGTGAAGGCAAGAGGGGTAAAGGCGCAGCCCTGCAATTGCTCGCTTATGCCACTGCAGCAGAAAGGCCTCCTCTAGAGGGAGCTATAGAGAGGCCTCTTGAGGGAGCTCTCGAGCTCTAGAGCCCCGATAATAAAGGTTTTTTTGGGTTAGATTGTGTAAATATAAATGTGTCAGAATAGGGTTTTCCCCTTTTTGCTGGCAACAAAACTGAAACCTTTTTATAAGGAATCATGTCTGCATTAACCACAATACTTGTGGTCAGTATGCAAACAAAAAACACACTGATAATATATTAATTGTCCTTGAAACTGATTGGTCCACACCAGAGACAGCTTTCTTTTGAGCCTCGTCTCAAACGGTGCTAGAACAGAGAACGCCAAAAGGCGTACAGCTCAAAGACAATGCACTATCAAAGTAATGCGAGCTTGGGGTAAACATCTACATCAAGAGACCTCCTTTGCCAGTACCAAAAAAAAAGAATATCTTTTCCCTTTCTTCTGGCAACAAAACTGAAACCTTTTTACAAGGAATCATGTCTGCATTAATCAGTTTCAAGGGCAACGCATAGATTATCAGTGTTTTTTGTTTGCATTCTGACCACAAGTATTGTGGTTAATGCAGACATGATTCCTGTAACATGGTTTCAGCTTTGTTGCCAGAAAAAAGGGGAAAACCTATTCTTCTATTGTGGTACTGGTAAAGGAGGTCTCATGATATAAATGTGACATTAAACCCGCCACAACCCGACACAGCCAATTAGTAAGGTTTGTCACGTAAATATTTATATGTACGCAATCTAACTCTAGTGTAGCCATTTATACGCCTGCGTGGACAACGGTGGGGGGAATTAAGAAACTTTCCCGTTGTTTCAACTGCCACGCCGGTAGATCAAATCAGCGTCCTCTGGATTAAAAGTCAAAAACTAAACTAAACTATTTGGTATTTTAAAGGTAAGGCCCACTCAACCATATAGCTCTTTTCAGAAGCGACCTGGCCACAAATGATGGCTCAAGGAATTGGCTCATTGTCACGTGGAAATGTATAGCAGCCAAATACTCTCAACGTGTGATGTTGATTCTAAATGTGGAGGGAAAAACCGGAGGACCCGGAGAAAAATCTACATGACCACGGAGAGAGAGACACCTCAAACTCCAAATATAGAGGAAGCTTCAGGGTCGGAATCGAATCCACAACCTCCTGTATACCAGGCGAGGTAATTAGCATCTCACCACCGTGGCACCCAAACACAGATGATTGGTGTGCAGTGAGCGCAAAGTGAAGAAGGAGCAACCTCCGACCTGTGGCAACCCCGCAACCTCCACGGCGGAGTCCACGGCCGCCTTCACTGACGCTGGGTCCCGCACGTCGCACTGCACGGCGTGCACCTAGTCAGGCACAGGGCACACACCAATATCACCACTGGTACTGCTTAGCAGGAGTACCATCACTCCCACGAATACCATGACCATGAAGTAACACTGATATACAGCACAAGCGCCGGGAGCATCTTTAGAACCATCACTACCATTGTTAGAACCACACCGAGTACCAGCGCCATCACCAGAACCAACACGACTAGCACTACCACTTGCAGCACCACCACATTACCATAATCACGAGCACGATCAGCACCAGCACCCCGACAAGCACAGCGCACCAAGATGAGCACCACAATCTTGAATCGTAACCACCACAAACGCAATTATAACAGACCAAAAACGCATAGTTGGAGATATTCAGCAAAGTGGTGATAATTAAATAAACTTTTTATTTTACTCAGTCCCACTGAGCTATAAAGATGTTTTTTCAGAAGCAACCTGGCCACAAATTATAGCTCAACAAAGTGGCTTATCATGTGGAAATGTATACTCTAAATGCATTTTAAAATAAAACTGTCATTACAGAATGTTACACTGTTGTAATATATCACAATAGCACTAATATCACTAGTCCGGTAGACACACACATCTCATTCTCAAGGCTGGCCGATCACCCATCACATTTCATTGAAAAGCAAAGAGGCAGCCTGTGGTGTGTAGAGGACTTATTTGTCGAGCACCTTGTTTCCCGTCTCGGCCGTGATCTCTGCTGCCGTATGCTGCAGAACGTCCAGTTTCCTGGGTACAAAAACAAAGCAGCACTCTAGGGGACCGTATAGTACAGCAAGTAGGTTATCAATCACATCCGGGCAACGCTGCAGTCAAGAGTGTTTAAGTAAAAAATGGAAGGGACGCGAGTTCAAGATTGCATTTGGTGTTGAAACATCGGCAGGAATTTATGTACTTATGCAATTGTACTTATAAACTTTGTGACTTGCTTAGCTTTCCTATACTTTGCACTGCCATCTGTTTTTGTATTGTTTGTTGTAACTTTCTGACTCGCCCCGACTGGACATCTGTGGAAGAGAGCTTAATAGCTCATTGGATTCTTTTAGTCCAAATAAATATTCTGATTCTGACTTTGCTCACCATACATTTAGAGTATATAAAATAAGTACGATCTAATGGGAAGTCAACAGTCACCCCATGGAGAGAATGGCTCTAGCTATGGAAATGCAGACATTCCACCACCGGTTCAAGAGCTACGAAGAAGATGATTGTTGCTCAATGCTCATGTGAGCAGTGAGCCACTTTCACTCAAGACTACGACTCAAATTTCCGCAAGAAAGGGCAGTGTTAGTCAGAGGCGTATTCAAGGACGGACGGACGGTGGTGAAGGCGGCCACCTGCTGGCGATGACGCACTGAGCTCCAAGGGCAGACAGCATAGACACCATGCCCCGGCCCAGCCCCGTGCCACCACCTGTCACAAACGCTACTTTGCCGGCGAAGGTTCCAGGGGGCAGCATGGGCGCTGCCTGCGCCGGAAAGTGAGAGGCGTGAGGCCTCGACTTGTCATCGCTCGCGCGTCTCCGCGGTTCGCCCAAGCCCTGAGGACACAATGCGGGGATCGGTGCGGCTTTGCCAACAAGACGCGTGATGGCAGCAACAACCCGCGCGCGCGGTCTCTCATATGTCCTGTACAAGCGAGACGAGCCGGGGCTGTGCCGAGCCGGCTTTGCCATGCGTGGCTCATGGAGGCACCAGATTACTCGTTATATATTTCAGAACACATTCTGCCCCTGAAGTCACACTTAAGTACTGGTTTGGCAAACATGATTGACCCTGCCCTTGGCCCTGCTAGGCCCAGAGTCAGATGCCTTGTGAGGCCAGAGTTTTTTTTATGGTATGGTTCTGTCTTGATTTGAAGCTTTCGTGACTGCAGGAATCCATACTCTTTGGTTCTTTCGGTAAAGTCACGTAGGTATAAAATAATAAATACAAATATGGTTCTGGTTCCACTTGGCTCAGAAAATTGCAAATGACTCCCAAAGATTTGTTTGTGAGTAGGGTGGGGGGAGCAGCTGCCCCTTGTACCCTGTTTCCTCTCAAAGGTCCACTTGAAGGTCATCATTTATACCTGCAATAGTGGTAACAGTTTTTTTTCTATAACAGGTTGTTAGGTATTTAGGTCAGCGTGAAAAAGCCTCCGTTTCACTGTCGGTGAAATGTCAATGTATCAACTCACCATTTGAACATTATGGCAGGAACCCGGGGTCCCATAAGCCCCCGGCTCTCGTATAAACATTATATTATAATGTAAACATATTATATTATGTTTACATTATAATATTGTAAACATTACATTATAATATAATATAAACATTATATTATAATGTAAACAAAAACTTTGCTCTTTTTCACCAATGGGTTTGAAGGATGGTGGCAAGTGTTGTCTTGTTAAACTATGCCTTTAAACCTGAAAACTACTTACCTGCAGTAGCTTGATTTAACTATCGAAAAATAATTTACACCCCTCTGTCAATCATCGTGTTTCTCAGTGTGGATTTATGAACACACTTTGTAAACAATACATAAAGTAGTACGCGTTTTCAATGCGCTGTTCATATTGTAACAAGCGTTTATACCAATGTTACTCTACAGAGTAGTGGGTCGCCGCTCCTCTTATCCGCGTTTATACGAGCAGTATGTGGAGACTATAGCTGTTAAATATCTGCAGGTAATAGGACTGTCATCGATTAATCCTGGCTGCAGACATTGGTAGGTCACAAATAATATTGAAGAAAAAAAAGCAGTTTCACTGTATTATGCATACCGTTGACAAATAAAGGACTTAAGTCGTGTAAGGCAGTTTGAGCAGCTTTGAACAAGACTTATGATCCTACCCATACCCGAGCATGGAGTGCATTAAGCTTGTTCAGCTCTTGTGCACATTCGTCAGCGCTGCTGCGCTTGGACGCGACGCGACAACACAACGTTCTGTGCCAGGTGGGTCACGGCGTTCATGTGCGCGGTGGGACTGAGTCGCCAAAAATAAATAAATTAGTTACGATTTTGACTTGCGTTTATTCGGTCCCGCCATAAGGTTCATCTGTTCCCATTGCAACGAACGGATGTAGTTGGGGACACAACAATGAACGTTCACTTTACACTTTCTCAAACAAAAACATTCGGGCAACATTCGAATCCAAGTGAGGGCAATCCGGCCAAATGAAAGCGCAAAGTCTCGGCTCAAACTTGGGAAGGTGTTCATCTCCACTGGCAGCCCTCATTCAGGGGTGGAAATTCCACATTCCCGCGGCAGGGACTGGTCCACCCTTACTGATCCTCTAGGACTGTGGTTGCTTACCTGGGGTGCACGCACCCCTTGGGAGTGCGAGATGCCCTTTCTGGAGGTGCGAGGCATGGGCAGATTTTTTTAGAAGGTAAATAATCTAAAACACAAATGAAGAACGTAAGTACAACTAGTTTAACACGTAGGCTTTCGCGACCAATATTATTCATAATAAAGGTTTTTGGGTTAGATCGCGTTTATTTATAAATGTGTCGTAACCCTCCACCACCCGACACGGCCAATCAGCAAAAAAAGTGTCACGTTGACAAAAGACAAATAATTCACTTCAGCCCACCGGTGTGTTGAAGAGTTAATCCACATTTACAGTTTGAGTACGACGTTTCGCTGGTAAATACATCCAGCATCATCAAGCAATTCGCCAGAATGGTAAAGCCCTCGTTTGCTCCCGGTTTTTATATTTACCAGCGAAACGTCGTACTCAAACTGTAAATGTGGATTAACTCTTCAACACACCGGTGGGCTGAAGTAGTGAATTATTTGTCTTTTGTCAACGTGACACTTTTTTTGCTGATTGGCCGTGTCGGGTGGTGGAGGGTTACGACACATTTATAAATAAACGCGATCTAACCCAAAAACCTTTATTATGAGTAAGTACAACTACTCTGTTTAATCAAACCCCATGTACGTATTAACATTATACATGCTTTAACGTCTGGGGATCAAAGGGGCGCTTAGGCTGCAGTAAAGGTTAACAAACGCTGCTCTAGGGAGTTTGTGAGCAGTGGGTCAGCCGTCTTAACGCCGGGGGCCCACTCCGTCACCTCGCTCTGGGTCAAACAAACAGCAACAACTTTTCGCCTGCAACACCGCGGCCCTTGAATAGAATCAAATAAAATTAAAAAAAACCACACCATACATTTGCACAAAATTGACGCTTCCGTGCGCGCGTTTACGCCGCCGCCTCCGCCGCGCCACAAACACGGGGGGATGGGGGGGGGGTAAAGTGGGCAAGAGGTCACACGGCGGAGACACGAAACCCGCGGTCGCCACTCCACCACTCGCGGCGGTGGTGGTGGTGGGACGCGTCTCTGTTTGTTCAAAGTGTCGAGAGTTGCTGCGGGAGACTTAAAGTTGTTAGCAAGGGGCGGGAGACATCGGGTTGGGCCTTGTACCTGTTGCCTGGACAACAGAGGCGCGCCTCGCCTAGCGAGCGAGGCCCGCAGCAGGAGGAGGGAAGCCATGGCGGGCGAGGACGAGGAGCGCACTCCTTGCTGCTGCTGTTAATGCTACTGCTGCTGTTGCTACTGATGACGATGATGTTGCTGCTGCTGTTGTTGCTGCTACTGCTGATGATGATCTTGCTACTGCTACTCCTGCTGTTGTTGATGTTGCTGCTACTGCTGCTACTCCTGCTGTTGTTGCTGCTACTGCTGATGTTGCTGCTGCTACTCCTGCTGTTGTTGCTACTGCTACTCCTGCTGTTGTTGCTGCTACTCCTGCTGTTGTTGCTACTCCTGCTGTTGTTGCTGCTACTCCTGCTGTTGTTGCTACCACTACTCCTGCTGTTGTTGCTGCTACTCCTGCTGTTGTTGCTACTCCTGCTGTTGTTGCTGCTACTCCTGTTGTTGCTGCTACTCCTGTTGTTGCTACCACTACTCCTGCTGTTGTTGCTACCACTACTCCTGCTGTTGTTGCTGCTACTCCTGCTGTTGTTGCTACTCCTGCTGTTGTTGCTACTCCTGTTGTTGCTGCTACTCCTGCTGCTGCTACTCCTGCTGTTGTTGCTGCTACTGTTGTTGTTGCTACGACTGTTGCCGCTGCTCGTGCGACTGCTGTCGCAGGGGGTTGTTACTGAACGCGGCACGGAGACTCCGCCCACGCGCTTGGCCACCCAATGGGCGCGGTCGCCTCGCGCGTGGGCGGGGGGTCGTGAGCCGGAGGACGGCGTTATTATGGACACGTGCTGTGAAGAAGGGCCATTGCCCGAAACGTCGTTTCTTATGTATCACCCCCCCCCCCCGCCCTTATTTTTAAAGTCACCATAGCTGTCAACCCCTTATCAGTCCTGCCTACCTTATTACAGACCAATTCAGACCTTATTGGTAACCCTGTGCCCTTATCAATCTCAACGTTCATCCTACAAAGTCCCATCACAAGGGAGAAATACCTGAAAACTTTATTTCCCAGTACAAGAATACGGCTAATCCGTATGGGTTGACAGGTATGCGCTAATATTTGTATACAGGGAGTAGTCGACTTACGAACACCCGACTTACGAACCAGCTTACATTTTTTGACATTGACTTAAAACGCGAACTCGCACTTTCAAACTAAGCCGCGGAACTATTTTGTTCAGTGGTGCGATCCTCCGCGAGATGTAATGATCAGTCTCGCGCTGGGAGTGTGTGTGTGTTAGAGTGAGAGCGGGCAAAACAACCCCCTTCATCCTCGTTGGTACCGGACGATAACTCTGTCATAAGCAGTGCCATGGGGGGAGGGCCAATTTCGATTGGCCATTCCCCTCATGGCGTTTTTAGCCACCACAGTGGCCAAAGGGGGCTCTGGACAGGTGCGAGGGGATGGTAACCCCTCCACCTTCAATAGAAGTACGCGACCTGGGCTTGGCTGTCTTCACTCCAACGCTGTTCTCTGGACAGTCCGGTCCCTTCACCTGATGAAGGCCACTTGTGTTGTGGCCGAAACGTCGTGATTTTTGTTATTTTATTTTACCTACGTGACTTTACCGAATAGAACCAAAGAGTATAAAAATATCCACCTAAGTTTGTGCCGGAGGCCCCGGGAGGACAGGCATCCATGACGTGTCCTGGCCAAACCCCATTTGGTGGAGCCAGGAGATTAAATCCGTACCCTCGGGGTTCCTCCAGAAACAGCAAAAAGCCACTGCGGGTGGCCACGTGGAATGTTCGAACGCTCACTGTGGAGGAGAGGCTGCCACTCCTCTGTTGGGAGTTGGACCGGTACCGCCTGGATCTCTGCGGTATTCAGGAAGTCCGGTGGACTGGCTCTGGCTCCTGCAACCATAAGGGGTGGACAGTCCTCGACTCGGGGCAGGAGACTGCCAAACAACAGGGTGTGGCTCTTCTACTCAACAAACATAATGAAGGGGGCGTGGGAGCGTGGCAGTGAGCTGTGGGAAACTAAGTCCCAGGCTACTTTGGGCTCGCCTTCCCATCAACCAGAGGTGAGGAGTGGTGGTCAGGGTTACTCATGCCCCCACCAAAGATGAACATCAGTGGAAGGATGCAGACAAGGCCGATGAGTCAGATGCTTTCTCTGACCTCATGTCACAGGTGTTAGCTAAAGTGGCCCCTTGGGATAGAATCATCCTTTTGGGTGACTTTAATACCTGAGTTAGTCATGATGCTGGCACCTGGTCTGGAGTGATTGGAAGACATGGGCCAGATCAGCTTAATAACAACGGTAGGAGGCTGCTAGACTCTTGTGCAGCCCATGGGCTTGTAATTACCAACATGCTGTTTCGGCATCGGCGCATCCATCCACAAAACATCATGGATGCATGCCAGGTCCAAGCAAGAACTTCTGTTGGACTATATAGTGACGGAACAGTGGAGCCGGGCCCATGTCCTTGACACCAGGACCTACCGTGGAGCTGATCTGCCCACTGACCATGGACTTGACATCTGTAAGGTGAGCCTGCCATTCTTCCACTCCAGTGGTTTAGTTCAGTTCAGTTCATTTGTTAGTTATAGCCCTGTGAGCCATGCGGCTCTTGAATCGGGTGCAACCGCAACAAACAAAAACATGAACAGGAAACATCTTAGGAAAAAACAACAAAATTTAACAATAAACGGTGGATGTACACCCAGGACCCCATTCAAACCCACAGTGGCCTGGTCTCAGCTCGCTGATGAAAGTTGCGAGAATTTCATCATTGCTTGCGGCTGGGATTGGCATCATCCCCCACTTCTCCGAATGCTGAGGGGAAATGGGTGAGGTTTAGGACTGTGGCTCATGCAGCTGCAATCACTGCTTTGGGTACACGGTCCAAACATCCCCCTGGCTGACAGAGGAGGTGTTCAGGCTGGCTGAGAAAAAAGTGATAGGCCCACTCTCACCATCTACAGCATCCACGTCAGAGAATGAGGCTTACCGCAGCCTTCGCTTGGAAGTTCGGAGAGCCGTGAGGCACGACAAGGATGGGTGGCGGTCGCGGGTTGCTGAGGAGGTGGAATCTGCCTCAGTGGCCCACGATCACAAATCACTCTTTAACTCCATCAAGAAAGTAATTTTCAGTGCCACACCTATCAATATCATTACGGGAAAGAATGGTTATCCAATCTCCGACCCCCAGGAACAAGTTTGCAGATTTTCTGAGCATTTCTGTGAGGTCTTGGGGGAGGGGAAATCCCTCAGCATGGACAACATCATGGGGCAAAGTGGGGATAATGTGGTACAGGAGGACGTTGAGCTGAGTGGTCTTGCCAATTACTGGTACCAGCTATGTCAAAATCGGGCTCTGTGGAGGAGGCTCGTGAAGAACGCTGCTACTGGGCAGTTGGAGGAAGTCGCCCTCCAGCAACAACAGAGGGCAGAGGAGCGACACAACAACGAGCAAAGCGCCTGACAGCGAAAACAAAGCAAGTTGGCACAGTAGGGGGCGCAGGTGGTGCATCACGCAGTCATCTCAGTCAGTCGATCCATGGCACCTGGGTCTGCCCCGTGACCTCCTGCCGGCGGGCATTCGACACTTCACGTGGCCTTAACGTGCACATAGCCTGGCACAAGCGCCGTGGTGATGTCACTGCCACATAGTGGCAAATGGCGCTTGTTGTTGTTAAGAGGTGTGGGAGTGTAGCGGTTCACCACGAAAGTGGCCACCCGTGTTTACTTCCTGGGGATCATGGTGGTGTGTGCGTGCGCGAATGGTGGTTGTGTGGTAGTGATGTGTTTGTAAGTAGGTGCTTGTAGTCTGTTTTGGGCTTTACGGGGGATCTTTGTGGGTTATTATCTCAAGGTGTGTTACTCGTGTGCATTAATAATTGTTTGACATTTTTGTCCAACGTTTTACTCCGTGGTTTGCTCCCGTCTGTGAGCCAGCACGTGCGTCTGTGTACAGTACGTGAAAGTATTAACAGTACACCGGTACACATTTTTTTCTCGAAATTATTTAGTTTCCCGGGATTCGCAACCCCGGTCAGAAGCTCTTGCGAAGTGGTGGTGGTGGTGCTTCAAAATCAATTCTCGTGATGTCAAAGCAGTTGGAAGACGAACGTTTATATGAGCGGCTGAACACGAAGTTTCACAGTCTGTTGTCGTATAGCCAGGGCCGGATTCAGGTTCTTGTAGGCCCTGGGCACGTCTCTTTCGTAGGCCTTCAGTGATCACTTTCTACAGCTGCGACTGCTGCCCATATCACGACTATCGCCGATGTCACTCGCTTGGTTCACGCGGAGCACAACAACAACGCCGCCGCCGCCGCTCGTCTTCCCTTGCACCGCTCTCTACTGAGAATGAGATTGTGCGAAAAAAATATTTGAAGATGTTATTGGTAATTTTCCAATAAGAGAATCTCGAAAAGTTCATCTCCGGTGTTAATTTCTCTCATCTTATGAACAAAAAAACATTGACATGACTGCCTCTTTGTATATACATACACTGTGCTTATCCTTGTGTAGCGTCGGAAATGCACATCGTATACCGTACGTATATACTTACCTGCAGTTGCGGATACAGGCCCATAGGGGGTGCCACCCTGAGCTAGGGAAGGTCAGGGAGAGCCAGATCATTGAGGGGCCGAGTTCTCCCCCCCCCAGACCCCAGGTGAGGGGTTGGGGGATTCTTCCAGAGTCCCCTGGAAGGTTCCAGAGAGAGGGCGGTACCGGGGGTGGAGAGTCCCCGGGAGGTTTATAAAAGTGCACTTCAAACACAGCTCGGGGCACTGTTCCGAAGACGAAGAAAGAAGACCAGCCTAGCTAGGACCCTGGGACCCCGGGACCCGACGTCCTTGTAAGGGCCGGGGCCGAGCGCGGACCAGTGGTCAGGACCCGTACCTTGGCTGGGTCGGGTCAGAGGATCTCCCTAGCTAGGACCTTGGGACCCCGGGACCCGACGTCCTTGTAAGGGCCGGGGCCGAGCGCGGACCAGTGGTCAGGACACGTACCGTGGCTGGGTCGGATCAGTTAGCCTCCCCTAGGGCACAGATAGCCGGAGGGCTGAGGGCCAGGATTTCCAGTGCGAGGGCACGCTAGCCCGGAGGCTGTACCTCCCTAGATAGTGGGAGTTAAGGGGAGTCTTGTTAAAATTTATAAATAAATCGTGCTCCCTCTACGACGGCATCTCGTCTCCATGGAACCCACGACACTTGCTATATATTTATTCAAGAAA